CCTGGAGTCAGGGCCAGCCCCCACTTTTCACAAATGACTTGCCATTAGGTTTCCTGGAATAGTGTGAGAATCATTCCTCAAGCAACAGTTCCACTGTGGAGAAATTGAAGCAGTTCCAGTCTTCAAATTTGCAAGTCTAACAACCCCCTTGATTATGAGAACTCACAAAGATCCTGGGAGCCCTGCTGGAGGAAGCTGGGTAGCTGAATGCTTCGTCTCTTTACGTAACCGTTTATGAGACTGATGTGTTTACTGTAAGAAGGGGAATAAAATGGTAAGATTCTGGGAGAAAATTTGCTTATCAAATTATATGCTAGACAGATCCTCTAACCCAGAAATCCATTTCTAAGAATTTATCCTAAAGAGATAAAAGTCATAAGTGTTTATTTATCACATGGAAATATTCATAACAGCAAAGTCTCCATCATGGGAAATGGACCAGTAAATTATGGTCCACAGGGACAGTGGGCTACTGTGCTGTCTCTTAAAAATGACAAAGTAGATCTATATTTAGGTGCAAGGAAGTATGTTCCAGTACATTACTGAGCAGAGAAGTAGGTTACAGAGCTGTATTTATGCAAAATAGTCTATGTACTGGGGATGTTTAGAAGATGCTGGTCATAATTCAGCATTATGTAGCTCCTTATTTGAGCTTTTCTGCATTGCCTTGGTTTCTTATATTAAGCATGTAATGTTTTACTAAAAAGTTATTTCGGTAACAAAAATAGTAAATATTACTCTCTTAAATTTGATAACACCTAAATATCCAGCTTGACTGTATCATATCCAAGAGGCCAAACTGAAACATTATCTATTTTACAAAAATCCACAAGCCTACATCATTAAGATGAAAATCATAGTGACAATAAAATTTTTGATCTATTCCAGTCTGTGTGATAGCTAAAAACATGTTTAAAGGTTTTCTAACATTTACAGGATTTTAAGAGAAGCTTCATTTAAAAACTCAGTGCGAAGATGCTTCATTAGAACCACCTCTAGGGCACTGAGGTACTTTAATTTTCTCAAAGTCATATGTTTCAGGGACTCCTTCCTCCAGTCCCAACTTATTCTGCACTAACTGTGAGGGTAAGATTTGCCCAGCAAAACAAACTGTGTGGCTCCTTTGAAAAGGCTTTGCGTGGCTCAGCAGCACTTTCTTAGATTAGGACACAAGGCTACCAAATGGTGGACGATAAAGTATTGTCACAGCAACGTACCAAGCTGTGACACCTGGTACATTGTCACTAGGTCCTCACTGAAGTCCAGATACAGGTACGTAGTGAGGAAGTGCAGGCAACATGTTGAAATGACAGCAGTGGAAGGGGAGTTTTTCATTAAACTCAGACAGGAAAAGTCTTCAAGAAAGACACTGCACCAGATAACCAAAGAGCAGGAGCCCGTGGACTAAAAAAAGCACCGTTCCCATTAAACGTGGGCCAGAAAATGATAATAACTGGGCAACGGTAGCGGGTGAGCACCTGTTCTGTGCCCAGAATCGTCAGCGTCAGGAGCTGTGGAAAAATACAGAAGCGGACAACAAGGATTGTTCTCCTGCACTAAGGGCATTAGAAGAAAAGAAAGTCAGTCCAGTTATCAGTCCAGTTATAAGTCTGTAAGGGAGGAGAGAGAGAAGTGCGGCTTGAGATGGCCCCAGAGACTTCAGCGGGCTGACAGCACCAGAGCTGAGCGTGCAGCAGAGTATTTACACACAGCAGCTGCTACGGGGAAGGGGGGGGGCATAAGCTCCTCTCTCCCCTTACCACACATTCCTGAGGCGGCAGGACAGGGCCAAGGGTGCCCCTCCCTCTCTAATTCTTCCTAACACTTGTTATCACATGACACAGGTTAGTGAGTAAGGAATTTCAATAAGTTAATTTTAATACAGTTTTTTCCTTTCTTTAAATGTGTGTATACATGTTTTTGGCCCCCCTCTACATATACATAAGTACCCACATATACATATATATATATATATATATATATACCAACCATATTAGAAATATAACTGAGACATTTTTAAAGCACAAGAATACAAGAGCACATATTCCCTTAGACATTAGAGCAATGGTGTCATCACACATCATGTTGCCTCCAGAAAACTTAGCTGTACTCTCATGAAAGAATGAGAGTTTATGAAACAAACAACAAATTATAATTATGATAAAATAGGTGTTATTTATTTGTATGAATTTTATGGAATACGAGTGCAGTTTTGTTACATGGGACCTGAGTTGTGTACACGGACTCCCCGAAGAGGTATGATCACACTATGAGAATTGTTTTAACCTCAAGTCTGCACTTTATTTTTCCAAAACATTCAGTGAATGGCCTTCACAGTCTGACTTTAAGCTCTCTATATGGCCTCGGTTCTCACAACCTTGCTAAGTGCTCTCTTAGACGGACAAAAACCCTTTTCACAGAAAACTGTGAGCATCAGAGCTTCTCAGCAGGTATTCATGTCGGATCTTCTGCCAGGGACTCCTGACCTCTCCTTTTATAGATTTCCACTCTGGCCTACAGGACTTTGCTGATCTGTCGCCCACTCCAGCCCCAGGCAGAATTGATCACTTTCCATAGAGAATATTTTACTTTTTCCTCTGCTCCATTTTACCACATTCCACCATGGCCTTCTAAATAATGAGTCTGCTTCCCTTTGAAAAATGCACAGCCCTGTATGAATGAGCTCCTGCCAGTGGTCAGCCATACCCACTTGCCCAGTGATCAGCCCTGCCCCGCTGTCCAGTGATCAGCCCTACCCACCTG